TTATATAAAATTAAACTAAAAATCTCGTAAATGCTCTTATTTAAGATAAAGAAATCAAACTCAAATATGAAACTTAATATGGATGTTAATAATAAACATATGGACTTAATAGAATTAAATTATTACATTTGATACTAAATTTATTGAAAACAAAATCTGATGTTGTTAATGATTAAATCTCAGAAACATAGTTCTACTCTTATTTAATAAATCTTGTCAAAGAACATGAATGGAATAACATTTTACATAATTAAATTTAATAAATACTTAATTAAAGTTTTATTATTTCAGCTTGTCATGAAGGAGTTAGAAACAAAATAATTAATGATGCTTAATTTATTAAAGTTTTAGCTGAAATGTGTATGGAAGTTAGATTTAAACCAGGGTTTAATTTTTTAAATTAAAAAAAAAAAAAAAAAAATTAATAGAAATAGTAAAAAATTAATCACTAAAGGTTATTTATGTATGTTTATTAAAATTTCTAATGATATTGAAAAATACAAAAAAGATTTTTAATGGTTATAAGATAAAATTGATTAAAGTATATTATATTTAAAAGAAAAAAAAAAATGATTTTTTGTATTAACAAAAAAAAAATAGCTCCTGAATGGTAATAATTTAGTGATTAAATTTTAAATTAAATGAATTTAATTGAATATATAAATTTAGGAAACTATAATCCTAAGAGAAAATATTAATAAGATAATTTTGAAAAAGATAATAAAAATAATGATGTTGATTATGATAATAAAAAGAAGAATTTTATTGTAAAAAATTTATATATAAATAAATACAAATATATATATATAATCCATATTTTTATAAAAATAGAAATTTGTTTATTAATCTTTAGGAAAAAATATTGATTTAATTAATGAATTAGATTAAAATGAAAACAAGTTAAAATCTATTTTTTATTTATAATAAATTTTGTTTTTTTATTTTTATAAGAAATTCAACGTCTTTTGTTACTGAAAAAAATGAAACTGACATAGAAATTAATAAAAATAACGAAAACTAAGAAATTTTCCCAAATGATAATTAAGACATTTTTTCAAATGAAATTTATTAAAATTAAAACAAAGATATTCTTTAAAATGAAAACTAAGAAATTTTTTAAAACGAGAATTAAGTGATTTTTTAAAATGAAAACTAAGACATTTTTTAAAACGAGAACTAAGACATTTTTTAAAATGAAAACTTAGACATTTTTTAAAACGATAACTTAGATATTTTTTAAAATGAAAACAAAAATGATCATAATAATCATTAGGAAGAAATATAATAAGCAGTATTAGATTAAAACAATATTTAATAAAATATTAATAATTAATAAGAAATAAAAGATATAAATTATGAATAGTAGCTTAATATAGAAAAAAATGAAAAAGATTAATAAGAATAGGAAACAGAAAAAATTATTGAAGAAGTGAAACATTAAGAAAGCTAAGCTTAAGAAGAGTAACTTTAATTTTTTATTTATTTATTTTTTAAACAAAGTAGTGAAGATATAATATAAAATTAAAATACTATTTTATAATAAAATGATAATAATGTATAAGAATTATAATAAAAATAACAAAATAATGTATAAGACACTATTTGATAAATATATATATATATATATATAATAATAAATTGATACTTTTATCAATTTATTTAATATTGATAAATAAAAATAATTTTTATTTTTATTATTTATACATATATGTATATATATGTTTTTAAAAATATTTATGTAATTTTAAAATATTTAATAAAATAGATTAATTTTATGTATTTCATTAATAACTTTCTATATTTTTTATTTTCACTTAATAATTTATTTATTAACTATAAAATTTAAAGTATATGACACAAATAATAAATAAAGCTATTTAAAAAATAAACTAAAATTGAAAACATTACTATATATTATTTTATATTATTTTTATATATATAATTAATTTAATGACATCATTTGTTATTAAAATTTAACATAATGAATATTTTTTTTAAAAAACACAATATTTATTGACTATATTTTTTTTATATTAGTTTATTTTATTTTTCTATTTATTTTGATAACAATTATTTATAAAAAAAAATGAATATAAATACTTATAAAGATAACTTAGCCAATTAAAAAAATCAATTAGACTTATTTTTTTAAAATATGGATAAAAAACAATTAACAAAACTCGAGTAAATAATAAAATCTCCATATAAAATAGATCCAAACAGTGTATATGAGATATTAAATAATCCTAAAAATGATAAAAAAAATGATGAATAATAAATTAAGTTATGTCCTTAAAAGAACGTATGTATCTAAATGTCAACTAATAATATACTTAATAATAATTTTGATTCTATAGCAAAAGAAAATAAACAAAGTATAACATAAAATATATATGAATAAAAAGAAAATATAAAATATAATTTTTTCAACAACTATTATATGCTTAAATTTTTTTTAAATTAATTTATTATTTATTCTTAGTTTAAAATTATAAAAGGATCAAATCTATAAGTCCTTTATGTGTTATTTAAAAAAAGAAAAGTTAAAAAAAAAGTTTTTATAATTAATAAGATTAAAATACATCTTTAAGAATTGTAAAATATCCATTTAAAACTGAATGTAAATAAATATTTACAAAAAAACAAATATATTTATATATATTTTAAAAAAAAGAATAGAATTATATTATAAAAACAATATAAATTCCTAAAAATTTTTATCCAGTATATAATTCAGTTTTAAGAACATAATCTCCTGAAAAATAATATGTATATTAACTTAAACCTTTTTGTTTTAAAGTAATAGATGGAAATAATAAAGAATTAATTGAATATGTTTTTTAATTAAGGGATCCAATATGGATAAAACATAGTGAATATAAAAATGTAAAAAAATATCCAGATTTTATATGGCAACCAGTTTCTAATTAAATATATTTTCGATAAATGTGTTAATTTAACTAAAAATATAATAATAATAATAATAATTGTTAAAAATAAACTAAAATGTATAACCATTTTGAATTTCATAATCAATTATCTGACAAGTCTTTATTATATTAAAATTTAATGCATTTTTTTTCAAATAAAAAAGAATAATTAACATAAATAATACCCCTTACATATGTTTTTGATTTAAAAAGTGCTGAATTTTTTAATGAATTGTAAAACTTTTTAAACGAATTTAAATATAAATAAAATTTAGATTTTGATAATTATACTTTATTTTAATCTTTATTTAGAGATGTATTAAATTTCAACAAATATTACTTTGAATAAAATAATATTAATATAAACTTTAATTAAGATTAATATAAATTTAACCAAAAAACTTTATATTCTAACTATAATATTTAAAATAATAAATAAGAAAAATAACAATTATGGATATTTAAACCAGTAAATCAAAATAGGTTAGTATAAATTATTTCTTATTTATATTTATATTTTTTTTTTTAAACAAAAAAATTAATAGAGGATAAGGAGTTTAATTATTTGATAGTTTAGAAGAATTAAGTAAATTACTTTAAAGCTTAATATAAATAAGTAATTAAAATATATATAAATATCAATCAATAAATATATTTTTTATAAGATTAATTTAGATACAAATGTATAATCTAAAAGTATATAGATAATCCTTTATTAATTTTTAATAGAAAATTTGATTTAAGAATATGGGTTTTAATAACATAAATAACTGAAAAAATGAATTTATATGTTTATAAGTATATAAATATTTTTTTTAAATTCTATTTTTAATTAAATAAAATACTTTTTTAAAGAAAAGGACTTGTTAGAACCAGTTGTGAATAATATTCATTAGATAATAAAGACAAATATATACATTTAACAAATAATGCTGTTTAAAAATATTCAAAAAATTATAACAAATATGAACAAGGAAATTAATTGAGTTTAGAATAATTATGTGAATATTTAATATAATAAAAAATTATTATTTCGAGTGAATTTTTTGAAAATAATATTATTTAAAAAATACATGATATAATAATAATATCCTTTATTTCAGTTCATTAAAAGATTAATAAGTTTAAAAGATAAGGATGCTTTGAAATCTTTGGTTATGATTTTATGATTAATAGAGAAAACTTGCAACCTATTTTAATAGAAGTTAATACAAATCCTTGTTTATTATAACCTTCTTAATATTTAAAAGAAACATTACCTAAAATGCTAGGTTAATTTAGTTTTTTTATATTTACTATATATATAATATAAAAATATTATATTAATTATTTTATAATTTTTGCATTTATTTTTTATTAAGATGATTGTTTTTAAATTACTATAGATAAAATATATAATGATTACAAAAATAATAATGAAAATAATTAATGGTAAAAAAAAATTATATATATTAAAAATATAAATGTTTTTTTTATAATTATATATATATATTTTTTTTTGATTAAAGGTTATAATTATATTATTGAAAATAAAAGAAATTTCAAAAAAATATAAAATATATATTAATAAATTTAAATTTAATGTATTTATTTAATTTCAATAAAAAAATAATAATTTAAAATAATTATTATTGTTTTATATATAATATAAGCATTTATAATAGATTTTAACTAAATAAATTTAATATTTTGAAAAGTGTAATAATAATTTGTATTTTAATTATGTAAAAATAAATACTAATGATAAAATATTTATATAATTATAATTTATAATTAATTATTTATGTTTAATAAATATTCATTAAATATATATATAAAATATATATATATTAATATATATATATTATTTTTTATATATTTATATATTAAAGAAAAAAAAATATATAAACATTTTTATTTTTAAAAAATGAGTTCATCTTCTAGCTCTTTAAAAGAACAAACAATATAAAATAAAGTATCTCCTAGATTATTAGGTATAATATTATCATAAACAATTCCAAAATTATAACAATAATAAATCATACAAGTTATTTATAAATTTATGAAAAAAAAAAATTAAAATATAGAAAAAATGAAGGTATCACCAAAATACTTCAATCTTACTGAAAATTAAGAAAAATAATAAAAAATGAATACTAAAAGTAACTAAAATTATAAAAACTATAATTTATATATAAAAAAACAAATTTAATAAAAATTAATTATTTGAATAATTAAATAAATTAAATTATAAATATCATTCTAATAATTATTTTATAACAATAAAAAATTAATAGTATACCAAAAAACTAAGCCAAATTTACTTAATAATAGCAAGAACGAACATATGCCAAAAAAAAGATGCTTTAATCAATATTGTTAGAAAGGAGGACAAGTAGACCTTATAATAGTATAAGATAAATCCTTCAAAAAAAACGGCAACAGCAAAGAAAAAATATACTACTGTTCAAAATGCTTTGAAAGATACAGAGGAAACTAATACTGTCAATACTGCAAATAAATATATTTTGACACAAATGAAGTTGATGGTGAAGAATGGATTTAATGTGATGAATGTGATTTTTGGGTATATAATTATATTAATATATATATATATATATGTATATTTATATATATATATATATATATTTATATTTAAAGAAAAATTTATATATATATTTAAATATATATTTTTTATATTATATATTTATTTGATTATAAAAATTTAAATTTTTTTTTTTTACTTAGCTACATAAGTAATGTGAAGCTTAACATGGAATTGAAAATATCGATGAATTTATTAAAAGAAAAGAAAAATATGAATGTCCTAGATGTAGATTGAGAAGTAAAAAAAATGAGGTAATCAAATATATGATATAGTAATGCATTTATTTTTTTTAGTATTTTGTAAATTATCATTATTTATAAAAAATTTATATTATAAAACTTAAATGTATTTAATTTTTTGTTTTTTTTCTCTTTTTTTACAAATATTTATATTTCTATTAACCAATAATATTTTTTTTAATATAAATATTATTTATAATTATTTTAGATTTTAAAATAATTTTATCTTATTATAATTATTTTTTAATTAGAATAAAAAAATAGATTCTCAATTGAAATATTGTAAAAATAAAACTAAATATGAAAAACTTGAGTAAAAATAACAATTTAAAAATTAAATGTAAATAAATGGAAATCTTTGCGAAAAAAAAAAGAGTTCAGTGAATTCCAAATGTCTTAAATATTAAAAAAAAAATATGTAAAAGGATTTTGAAGTTTATTCTAAATCAAACTTCAAAAAGAACCTTGCTAATTTGAGAAACCAAGAATAATAAATTACAAATAGTAATATTTTTGGTTAATATTATATAAATAATTAATTTGAATAATTACTACATTCATTAGGTATTAATTTTGTATTTCTTTTATTAATTTTTTATAGGTACTAAATTTACTTTGGATGAAAAAATTATAAATGAAGATATTGAAAGAATTAAAAAAATGATATAATTAGAATGCTAATAATAGAGTTCAACGATATAAAGTAATAGCTCTATAAATGAAACTAATTGAAATAATATATTAATAAATCTATATAATATAATATATATATATATATATATATGTTTATGTTTAATTATTTATATATTTACTTTATTTATATTTTATATATCTAATATTTTTATAATATTTAAAAATTTAATATTCATTATATATTTTATTTTATATATTTTTTTATTTTTATTTATTATTAAAATAAATTAATTATTAATTAAATAATTTAATCTTTTTTTTTATAAAAAAAAAATATAATTTCTTCATTTTTTTTATTAAAGATTTTTGTTTTTTTGTTAAATAAAATAAACATATAAAATATTAAAATTTATAAAAAGATAATTAAATTTCTATAAAATAAATTGATCATTTATTAAAAATTTATTTAAAAATATTTATTTTTATTAAATATAATACAATTCATATTAAAAATTTTAATTATATATATTCATAATATTTATCATTTTAATTAAATAAGTAAAATTTGTTTTTTGTTTATAATTTTTAAATACTAAAATATTATAAAAAATATATATATCTTACTTCAATAAATATTAATAATATGTATTTAAAAAATAACTTTTTTTAATTATTAGAAAAATAAAATTATTTTTATAATTTTAAGAAAAAAATAAAAAAAAAAGGATAAAAATAAATTATTTATAAATAAAATATTAATATATATTTATAATTATAATAAAAAAATCATATAGTAAAAAAAAATATATATATATATATAAAATATAAAAAATATAAAAAATGGAACCAAAACAAGTTGCTTAATAATTTTGTACTGCATATTTTGGTGCCCTAATGCAAAACAAGAATAATCTTATAAATTTCTATTAAAATAACTCTTAAATGACTTACAATGGTGAATAATTTGTTGGATTATAACAAATTTAACACAAAATTGAATCTTTGGGATTCTAAAAAATTATTTATAAAATAGATGATTTAGATGTTTAAGTAGGACCTGTAAATGGTTCGATTACTGTATTTGTAGTAGGTGCACTTCAAATGGACGATGCTGAAGAATTCAGATTTTCTTAACTTTTTAATATTCTTCCTAATGGAAATGGAGGATTATATGTTCATAACGATATACTCCGTCTTGTATTTTGAAAGAATCTGAACAAAAAATAAAAAATATATATATATATATATTATCGTGTTTATTTATGTATTATTTAATTTTTTTAGATAAAAAAATATTGAAATAAATTAATATATTATATAATAATTATTTTTTTATCATAAATATAAAATGGGGGTTGAGGGGGGGGGGGGGTTTAAATATAAAAATTGTTTATGCAAAAAATGATATTTTAGAAAAATATTTTAATAAAAAATTAGCAAAAAATTATTAAAAAAAAATAATAATAAATAAATAACAATATATATTACAAATATGTAATATTTAAAGATAAATATATATTTAATAAAAATAAAAAATAATATTTATATTTTAAACAAAATATTAAATGAGTCAAAATATGGAAAATTATATAAGAATTTTACATGAAGGAGCATAAGATACATCTACTGAAATTTCACAAGATGATATAAATTTTCTATAAAAACAAAGACTAAAATTTATTACTTATCCACTTTCAACATTTATAGTTTTAAATGCATTAAAATATGCCTCTGGCTATTTATAAACTCCAGTATTTTTAAAAATCCTTTAATTACAGAATAAAAAGATTTAAAAGAAAATAACATTTTAAGCGATTTATGAGTATTAATTCAATTTTATTATTAAGTATGACAGCATCTATAGTTGGAGGTGCTTCATATGAAATTAATAAATATTATATGTATTTAAAATATAAAAATTTAGTTGATTCTTATACTGATGCATGTGAAAGATATTATTTATAAAATTTAAAAGCTTAAGGAAAATAAGTATAGTTTTTATTAGATAATAAAAAAGAAAACTAAAAATGAAAAAATAAATAAATATTTTATTTTTTTATATATAATTTATGTATATTATTTATATATATCTTTTTATTTTGTGTTATTTAATATTTTTTTTATTTTTTTGAATTAAAATATTATTAAAAAATACAATACATTTTTAAACTATCAAGTCACTGTTATATATAAATATATTAAAAGTTTATTATATTTCTCTCTATTTACTTATTTAAATTTATGTAAATTATTAATTTAACATTAAATGTTAAAATTTTATTATCAATTAATTAATTGTTATATAAAAAGTTAAATGTTTATATTAATTATATATCTTTATTTTTTATATTTTATGTATTATTTGCAAGTTAAAAAATATATTTTTTAATAATTTATATTCGAAAATAAAGGAAAATTGTATTCATTAAATAAATAACATCAATCATTAGGATTTCCTGAAATTCTCAAAGGATGTCTTGAAATATTAACTAATTAAAATATTCTTCCAAGTGCATTAACACATGTAACTGTATCTGTAATTAGGAAAACTAAACCAGCAATAAGAATTCAAATTATTATTTAATTCTTGAAAAAAAATTCAAATTATCACTTTAGGCTTTATTAAAAGTTAACCAGAAGTTATAGTCTAACTTTTAAGTATAAAATCAAGAGCACATATCAGGATAATAACCATTTTTAACATATATATTATGTGTATATTAATGTAATTATACGAAATTAGATTGTATAAATTCTTTACTTAAAACTCATCTATGGGTAGACTTAAATTCTAACCAAAAAAAGTATGATTAATCTAAAACTAAAAAAATAAAAACTATATGTAAAGATGAATCGAAAATTATTAAATATATAGTTGATTATTATATTAATAATAACTTTTATTATATAATAATAATAAAAAAAGAAAAAAGAATATAATAAATAAATATTTTTGTTTATGTAATTAAAATTTTTAATTTTTTATTAATTAAAAAATATATTTTTTATTATTTTATATTTCTTTAAAAACCTATTTTATTTATTAAAAAGAAATATTATTTTATATAAAATGGAAAACAAAAATTTAATTTAATTTAGACTAGCGGAAGAATCAAAATTATTTTAGTAATTTTAAGGATGTATATTTTATAATTAAAGAGAAAATAAATTCGTATTTTGTTTTAAAGATACTATTTATTGTGTATTTAATTAAAAGGTTACATAATATTAAATACCTTATACGTAAAAAATAAAATAAAAAAAAAGTATAAATTATTTAAAATATTCTTAATAATAAATAGTAATAAAATAAAAAATTTATGCTTAAATTAAAATGAAACATTTGTGGCATATTAAATATAACTAAATACAATTGTAATAATAATATAAAAAACTAAAATTATTTTTATATAATAATTAAAAATAAAATTAAGGCAATTGTTCAACTTAAAGAATAAAAGGAATAGAGAATAACTATAAATTATAAAAATGATATAAAAGGAAACATATTATATTTTAAATGGGTTTAAAAAAAAATCAACGTGAAAAAAAATATAGATTTTGTAATATGTGATAGTTAATATATTAGGCTTTATAAATTAAAAAATGACTATTTAAAAGAAAAAAAAAATTATTAAATAAATATATCTTTAGTTTTATATGAAGAAATCAATTAAATATTAATAATTTCATCAGCAAAAGAAAAAGGAAAAATTTCAACATTTTTTCTTTAAAAAAATCAATATGAAGATAATTATAAAGGGAAAGAAAAAGAAATAAAAAATAAATAATATGAAAATTATTTATAATTATATGAAAAATAAAGATTAGAAAAATTAAGCAAATATTTTTAATAAGAATATACAAATGAATATATAAATATTTCATAATAACAATGTATTTATTTAGTAAATATTTATAAGAAAACCTATTTAGTTTTTATCGATTAAGAATAAGGTTAAATTATCTTATATCATATTACATATGAAAAAATACAAAAATTGGACTGGAAAATAACTATTCCACATGATACTTAAATGAATATTTTTGTAGTAGAAAATCTATTAATAATTAACTGTTAATAAAATTAAATTTCTTTAATTTATGACATTAAAAGATATTAGCCACAAATAAAAGTTGTAGTACCTGAGAAAATAGATTTTTTATATAAAAAAGATATAAAATATTTAGGAAACAACTTAATTTTGAATAAATCTAATTCAGAAATTTATTAATTATATATTGAATTAAATAGATTTAATGATTTTATATAAGATGATGTATTTTTTTTACATTAAATATATTATCTAAATTTGTTTTTTTATAGATTGAAAGATTCAATATTATATTAAGAAGAAATAATTCGAAAAAATTTATTTTAGATTTGGTCAAATAAAAAATAATTAAATAAGAAAAATTAGTTATTATTTCTACTTACTTTAGGCATT